GAGTTCAAATTCAACTGATTCAGATTTAAGTTCAAAGTCAACTGATTCAAATTCAAGTTCCAATTCACATTGGAATTGAAATTCAACTGGTTCAGATTCAAGTTCCAATTTGGATTCAAGTTCAACTGATTCAGATTCAAGTTCAAATCAACTGATTCAGATTCAATTTCAAATTCAACTGCGTCAGATTCAAGTTTGAGTTAAACTGATTTAGATTGGAGTTCCAATTCAACTGATTCCAATTCACATTCGAGTTCAAATTCAACTGATTCAGATTTAAGTTCAAAGTCAACTGATTCAAATTCAAGTTCCAATTCACATTGGAATTGAAATTCAACTGATTCAGATTCAAGTTCAAATCAACTGATTTAGATTCAATTTCAAATTCAACTGCGTCAGATTCAAGTTTGAGTTAAACTGATTCAGATTGGAGTTCCAATTCAACTGATTCCAATTCACATTCGAGTTCAAATTCAAGTGATTCAGATTCAAGTTCCAATTCGGATTTGACTTCAAGCTCAACGGATTCAGATACATAACAAGTTAAAATTCAACTGATTCAGATTTAAGTTCAAATTCAACTGATTGAGATTCGAGTTTAATTTCAACTCATTCAGATTCTGGTTCAAATTCAACTGATTCAGATTTAAGTTTCAATTTAACTGATTCAGATTCGAGTTCAAACTCAACTGATTTAAATTTGAGTTCCAATTCAGATTTGAGTTCAAATTCAACTGATTCAGATTAGAATGATTGAAATGAATCTCCTCTTTGTTGAAGCTCAAATCAGCCTTCAGGTTTGATGTCAATGACGTTTCTTCACGAGACGTGCAATGACGACTTTTGGTGGTGTGTGTGTGTGTGTGTGTGTGTGTGTTTACTGGGGTTTCTACGGACACCAATAATCATGATCTGGTTATGTAATATCTTTACATTTATGAAGAATAATGTTATTTTTCCATTTTCACCAGAAGGCAGAATTTGACGGATGAAAACACACTCGGATACAAATCATTAATGGGCTTTAAAGTGAAGCGTCTCGAGTGTGTCGAGCCGTGAGGTACTTGCAGGTAAACAGAAAACTCATATTTCATTTTGACAAACACAATCATCCAGTTTCCATAGCTTTCTACGGTGTCCTGATTTATGGAATCTAATCAAATCTGTTTTTTGATCAGCTTTTGCCACTCCACATTAATTATAATTCAATTAGTTCTTTGCTTATTAGCAGCTTATTAATCATTATAATTGTGTGTCTTGTCCAGTTAGTGAGGCTGGTCACACATGACTCAGATTATATTGAATATGTGAACACATGTGATGAGGAAATACTAATAATAAGTGGAAGTGTGTGTGGTCATGAACGCATTGAGGATCAGTGTTTGACTCTCCTCAGTGTTGTTCTGCCATCTAGTGGCGGATTCATTCACTTCAGAAACCTTGATAAACCGAGTTTACATGACAGACCTGGATGTAGATGAAGTATGATATAAGGCACAATAATATTGAATGAAATTTGTGTCCTAAATATTTCTATGTATACATCATCAAGTCACAGAAAGTCATGCTGTTTTGTGAATCTCTGTTATTTTAGTATTATGTTTATAGTACTGTTTATGTTTCTATTTATTAATGTTGAAGATATTTTTATATTTTCAGTTTTCATTCTATTTTTAATTTAAGTAATTTCTTTAAAAATCTATTTTTATCTTTCATTTATTTTCATTTCAGTTTTAGTCATTTTAGTACTTCAACCTATTTATTTCTAATTTTCATTTTAAGTGTTTCATCTAATACTTGTATATTATTTTCACCTTTATTTCAATTAGCTAATTAATGATTTAATTAGTTTTAGATAACAACAATACTTATATATTATTTTCACCTTTATTTCAATTAGCTAATTAATGATTTAATTAGTTTTAGATAACAACACTGTTTCGAATGCACTGTTTTAGTAATTTCGTTAAATGCTTTTATATTTAATTTTTTTATTTTTGAAAAGAATATTTCTATTTAGCTTTTATTTATTTTTATTTCAAGTTTAGATAGGCTACTTCGACTAAAATTACTCAACATTTCTTAAAAGTTTAAATACAAGTTTTTCAATCTTATATTAATGTTTTATTTCAGATTTATTTCAATTACCTATATTTTAAAAATACCCATTTTTAATACTTTTAGTTTTTGATTATGGTTATGGATATGCTTTGTTTATCAATTTATAACATGCTTTTGTATTTTTTTAAAGAATATTTTTATTTAGCTTCTCAGCACTTCAACACTAATAGGAATCTTGTAGTATTTTAGGACAAAATATTATAGTAACGTTAATCCTTTAGGAATACTATAGTATTTTGGGACATAGCCTAGAAGTATAGAGGTATAGATACGTATTACAGAACATCACAGAAGTATTATACAGTGTAATATAATATACACTAATATACACTACTATAGAATACTAATAGCCATAGGATTACTATAGTTCTTTTTCTTAAGGGATGTAATGTCACACAAATCTGGTCCACTGCACAGGGATCTGAAAATAACCCTCCTGCCATTCAGGTTTTTATTTTATTTTTTAAATGTTTTATTTAGTCTTAACCATAGAGTTCTAAATAGAATCCCATGGTGATGATGTCATAATTGTCCAAGTTGTCACTCACATGAGATCCACCAATAGCAATCAAGCCCCGCCTATTTGTTCCACATGAACAATATATGCAATTATTATTCAAAAAAAAAAATGATATAGCCTTAAAACAAGCTGATGGCAGAATAGTGTTTTCTGGTCATATCTTCTCTCTGCATGTGTTAACATGAAGCCCAGATGCTGTCAGCATTTATTTTCAGTATTTATTTGTTATCATGGGTCTTCAGCCTCGGGGAGAGTCCGAGAACGAGCTGGTCACATCTGCTGCTGTCATGAAGATCTGGGCCAGATGAATCTGTGTGTGTGTGTGTGTGTGTGTGTGTGTGTGTGTGTGTGTGTGTGTGTGTGTGTGTGTGTGTGTGTGTGTGTGTGTGTGTGTGTGTGAGAGAGAGAGAGAGAGAGAGAGAGAGAGAGAGAGAAAGGGAGGCACTCCGTCACAGTGAGTCTAAACGAATGTGTGTGTGTTTATAAATGCTGCATTTTAATTGATCGAAAATACAGAAAATATTGTGTTCAAAATACAGTAAAAATAGCATTTTTCCAAGTTTTGGGACGGAAATATATTTTTTCAATTTTTAAAAAAGAACGTAAAAGTAAAAATTGTGAAAAATTATTCCAATGTAAATCAGTAAAGTGTAATTTATTCCTGTGATCAAAGCTGAATTTATCATCATTACTCTAGTCTTCAATGTCAACTTAAATTTCAACTTATAATTATTTATATAGCACATTTAATATCAATGCTGTTGCCCAAAGTGCTTCACAGTTAACTAAAAACAGTAAAATCATATATGAGGTAAGATCGCACACTCGTGACATAACCACTCACATAACAATATAGTGAGAAAGAATAGTGAAAACTATAAAAAGAGTCCATTAATTCTACAATGTACAATGAAATAAAAGCTAGGTTAAAAAGATACGTTTTAATTGAGACTTAAAAATGTATTTTTTATAATGTTGCAAAAGATTCTAGCTATTTCAAATAAATGCTGTTCATGTGAGATTTCTATTCATCAAAGAATCCTATAAATAAAATATATTACGGTTTCCACAAAAATATGACTGCTGATAAAACATTGATATTAATCATAAATGTTTCTTGAGCATCAAATCATGATTTCTGAAGGAAGTTATAATGCAAATTAAATTGAGTGTTTACGTTTAAATCTGTATAGTAAAAATTGATTGTCTGAACATTTGTTCTGATTGGTATTAAAAAAACTCATACCATGTTTCTTTTTTAAAAATATCATTCATATATTACAGTGATATTCTTTGAATTAAAACACGAGTAAACATGAACTACCTGGTATTTTTTTTTTTCTACACATTTTCTACTTTAGTACTAAATTGTTAAATTGGGAGACTTGTGTGTTTGGGAGCCTTGTTTTATTGTAATATGCTTTCACAGTATCTCTATTCAGGTCAGTTTTATTTCTATAGACCTTTTTACAATAGCAGAGTGTTTCAAAAGCAGCTTTACAGAGATAACAGGAAAATAACGCAACACAGTTTGCACTTGTTTGAACTTAAGAAAGTTCAGTGATGTTTGTTGTAAAAAAGATATTAATTTAGTTAATTTCTATATATCCGCTCTGGAGAAAAGGCTACTACGGAGGCGTATTGCATTCACTTGAAGAAAAAAAATCTACTCTGTTTTTCTGAATTAACGAGTTAATTTTTCAAGAGAAAAAATTTTTTGCTCTGTTTTTCTGAATTAATGAGTTAATTTTTCATGAGAAAAAAAAAATTTGCTCTGTTTTTCTGAATTAACGAGTTAATTTTTCATGAGAAAAAATTTTTTGCTCTGTTTTTCTGAATTAATGAATTAATTTTTAACTTTTTTTTCTCAAGAAAAACTAACTCATTAATTCAGAAAAACAGAGCAAATTTTTTTCTCATGAAAAATTAACTCATTAATTCAGAAAAACAGAGCAAAAAATTTTTTCTCTTGAAAAATTAACTCGTTAATTCAGAAAAACAGAGTAGATTTTTTTTCTTCAAGTGAATGCAATACGCCTCCGTAGGCTACAATGTCATTTTGGCAAGATTAAACTGTTAATATGAAGCTAAACAGTTAATGAAACAAAAAATTGTGATACAACTTGACCTGATATAAATTTTAGTCATACACTACTCCTTTACTGTGTAAGTGTCGGTAAAAAACGTCTCAGAGACGAAACGTTGCTGATATTTTATGGGGAAAGGTTAATGACGCAGATGCGCGTCACGGTGACCAATAAATAACAATTCTGTAGCGTGTGCGCGCATCTGATCAAATGTGGAGCGCGTTTGTCTGCGCACGCGCGCTGCTTCAGACTTCGGCGACTCGCTCGCGGGCGGCTCGTGTAGTAATTGCGTGCACGCGCATGTCGTTACCATGACAGCATAGTTAGTAAACTCCCATGTTGCCATCGGTTATTATCAGCAGAAGAAACACTGAATCCGCAGTGCAGGAGAATGTTCAGAACTCGCGCATCTGTGACGCGTCGCGTCGGGGACGAGCGTTTCTAGGAGAAGCAGAAGCTCCAGCGGATCTGGGATCCGTCAGGACACGCGTGGATTTATCCTGAAGATCCATGGGAACCTTCGGCTCTGCTGTGGTGTGCCTGGAAGAGGATGAGGAGGAGGAAGAGGAGAAGAGGAGAGAAGTTGAGCGTCTTCCTCCACTGCTCGAGGACGAGGTGAGATTGATGATTGACAGGTGGTTGATTGACAATTAACTTTGCACATGGTTTCATGGCATGAATATAATATTCTGTATGTGTTATGGTATTTCCATCTGACATCACTATCTAACATTAGCTGTAACATGATGCATTATGGGCTATACTTATGGAGAAAAAATAGGAACAAAAATAAAGGAACTGAGGAACAAACATAACGGGTTTATGCAGAGATTCACTGAAGAGGTGAAGATCATCTTATGAACACACACACACACACACTCACACACACACACACACACACTCATTCGTATGATGTTCAGAGTTTGTTCAGTGCTTTGAGCTCGAGACTGGAGTGTCGTGAACTTCCGGAGGTTCAGGGACAAGCGTATCTGGGGCAGTGTGTGTGTGTGTGTGAGAGAGAGAGAGAGAGAGAGAGAGAGTGTGTGAGAGTGAGTGTGTGTGAGAGAGAGTAAGAGTAACAGTGTGAGTTTGTGTGTTTGAGAGAGAGTGTGTGTGTGTGTGTGTGTGTGTGTGTGTGTGTGTGAGTGAATGTGAGAGAGAGTGTGTGTGTGATTGAGAGTGAGAATAAGAGTAAGTGTGTGTTTGAGAAAGAGTGTGTGTAAGAGTAAGAGTGTGTGTTTGAGAGAGAGAGAGTGTGTGTGTGTGCACTGTAGTGAGTTTGAGCAGAAGTGTGTGTGTGTGTGTACTGTAGTGAGTTTGAGCAGAAGTGTGTGTGTGTGTGTGTGTGTGTGTGTGTGTGCACTGTAGTGAGTTTGAGCAGAAGTGTGTGTGTGTGTGTGTGTGTGTGTGTGTACTGTAGTGAGTGTGAGCAGAAGTGTGTGTGTGTGTGTGTGTGTGTGTGTGTGTGTACTGTAGTGAGTTTGAGCAGAAGTGTGTGTGTGTGTGTGTGTGTGTACTGTAGTGAGTGTGAGCAGGTGAGTGTCTGCTGTTCCCTGGAGAGAGAGAGAGAGAGAGAGAGAGAGTGTGTGTGTGTACTGTAGTGTGTGTGTGTGTGTGTGTGTGTGTGTGTGTGTGTGCTGTTCTCAGGAGAGAGAGAGAGAGAGTCTATAACGGTGTCGGCTCGTCCGGCTGCACTAACTCTATGGCCTATAAACTCAGCTCTAGTTCTATTCTTTATTGATGAATGAACATGTTTTTCTCAGAGTGTGTGTGTTGTTCTGTTAGTCGTGTCAGTGGTGTGTGTGTGTGTGTGTTTTACCAGTGTCTTTCATTAGCTGCGTCCCATCATGTGGCGACAAACAGTACAAAAACAGCTAAAACAATGCAAACGAATATTTTATTTATATTGCAGTCCAAGGGAACTATAAACTGCAGCATAAAAGTGTGTGTCTCGTTATTATTACAGTTAAAGTGTGTGTCTCATTATTATTACAGTTAAAGTGTGCGGTGTGATCTTCTGTACTGTGAATACAGCATCACGAACACAAGCAATGGGAAACACTCTTCTGACAGGGTTAAAGGCATCTGTATTATTACCTGAATATTAACGACCCAATTAATACTGGGAATTTATTATTTATTTAATGTTTGAAAAAAATATTACTTAATGTATATTTTCTTAATAAATATATTATTTATTCATTCATTCATTTTTTTATCTGTGTATTTATGTGTGCATTTAAAATGTATTGCTTTACTATTTATTTTAATCTTATTTTTTATTTATATATTTGTAAAAAAAATCTGTAAAAAACATTTTCTGTAAAAATTTCCAAAAAAAAAATACTTAATTTATATTTCTTAAAAAATAGATAATTTATTTATATCTGTTTATTTTAAATATAATTGTTGATTAAGTATTTATGTTAGTTTTACTTTTTATTGGTATATTTCTAAAAAAAAATCTGTGTAAACTTTTTCTGTAAGCATTTCCACAAAAAATATTACTTAATTTATATTTGCTTTTTCTTAATAAATATATTATTTCTTTATTTGTATCTGTTTATTTGCTTATTTTAAATATAATTTTTGTTTATTTATTTATTTTAATCTTATTTTTATTTATTTCTATATTTGAAATATATATATATATTTTTTTTTTTTATTTATTTTTTTTTTTTTACAAAAGATGTTTATTAAGGCTCTCTCCAGGCTGACATCATCGCTGAGACGGGCTGTTTTTGGTTCAGAGTTTTGTTGTTGAATCCGATCTGGTGTGAGCCAACAGATTCATTACTCAGATTAACTGCGACCCAAAAGATCTGCTTGTAGAAAGTCCTTTAACACTGTCCCATCTGCCGACAGCATGTCTCGGTTATATAGTCATGTTTGATTATTTCCTTATGAAGGATAGAAACACACACACACAAATAGTTTGTATGGAGTTTTGTTTTGCAAAACACATTAACAACTCCATAACAATGTCTAAACATCATATCAGTTATGGGCAAACACCCATTTAGACTGGCTTCTAACTCAAATGGAGATGGAAACATAATAAATAGTCGTCAATCACACATAACACACACATTACCCATGAATGCATTTAGGAAACTGAGCACAATGATGTACAGACTCTCGTGACATCATAACGGAACTTGTTACAATCTGTCTCTTGTAATCTGTGGAATATTCCATTGGAATGAATGGGTCGCTATGGAGATTTCGGAGTTTTGTGCTCTATGTGTGTATTACACTACCGGTCAAACGTTTTGGAATAATAAAAAAAAAAAATCTTAATTTTGTTATTTATTTGATCACAAAATACAGTACAAACGGTAAAATATTATTATTATTTAAAATAACTGTTTTCTATATCAATATATTTAAATATGTAATTCATCAAAAAAATGAATGTCTTCAACATTGATAATAATCATAAATGTTTCCTGATCATCAGATCCTCATATTAGAGTGATTTGTGAAGGATCATGTGACACTGAAGACTGGAGTAATGATGATAAATTCAGGAATAAATTACACTTTACTGGATATTCACATAGAAAACAGATGATTTACGTTGTAGTAATATTTCAAAATTTTTACTGTATTCTGATAAAATATTTTTACTGCATTTTCTTTCAAAATCTTTAAATACATGAATTATTCCACACCTTTAGCCGTGTGTGTGAGTGTGTTTATGTATTTGTGTGATTGACTTTTACTGTTCTGCTGGTAATATCATTTCTACTGATGCATTGTGTGTAGAAATGAATTAGAAATGTCTTTAACCCGATTGCACTGCACGTGTCTCTATAATATCATGCATGTGATCAATCTCTCCATATTTCCTCAGGAGAATGTTTCTCTGGCTGATATCTTGTGTCTGAGGGACAGCGGGCTGTCGGAGCAGGAGCTGTGGGCGGTGTGTGTGGAGTGTGTGTGTTCTCTACAGAGCATCTCTCTCTCTCCGCTCTTCCACACACTCTGCGTAACGCCCGACACACTGGCCTTCAACGCTCACGGAAACGTGTGTTTCATGGATCAGCTCAGCGGTGAGTCATCAGCTTCGTCGTGACTCACACACACTCTCACCGCGTTTGGATTTATTGAAAATATTGCTTTTGATGCACATCTCTACAAATGGAGGGTTTTGACAGATGTGTCTTCATAAAAAAAAACTATAGATAACCGTATAATTTACTGTAAAAAACAGTAAAATGACTTTCCATGTGAACAAATGTACTGCTCATTGCTAGTGTGCATTAACAAATAATTATAACCTTCGTGTAAAAAGTTAACTGTACTTTTACTGTAAACAAATACTGTTAAATGTATGGTTTTGGCCCGTAAAAACTATAAATTAGCTAACATGAACCAACAATGAACATTTGTAGTTTTTGACTGAATTGTAGTTTTTGGCTAAATTAAGATTCATAAATACTGTAACAAACGTTTAGCTCATTGATAGTTATTGCATTAACTAATGGGAGTTTATTGTAAAGTGATACCTGTAATTTTACTGTAAAAATACTCTCAAATGTATAGTTTTTGCAAGTTAAAACTATGAATTACCCTATAATTTACTGTAAAAGGACTTTCCCTGCAAACAAATAAACTAGTTAATGTTAATTAATGCCTTAACTAATTATTGGGACCTTAGTGTAAAACTTTAAATGTAATTTTACAGTAAAATACTGTGAAATGTATAATTTTGCATGTACTGCTAGTTAATGTTATTAATGCCTTTATGTTATTAGTGTAAAAAGTTAAATGTAATTTTACTGTAAAATACTCTGAAATGTATCGTTTTTGCAAGTAAAAACTATGAATCATCATATAATTTACTGTAAAAAACAGTAAAAGGACTTTCCCTGTGAACAAATGTACTGTTAGTTAATGTTAAATAATGCCTTAACTAATTATTGGGACCTTAGTGTAAAACGTTAAATGTAATTTTACAGTAAAATACTGTGAAATGTATAATTTTGCATGTACTGCTAGTTAACGTTATTAATGCCTTTATGTTATTAATGTTATTAACTAATTACTGGGACCTTAGTGTAAAAAGTTAAATGTAATTTTACTGTAAAATACTCTGAAATGTATAGTTTTTGCAAGTAAAAACAATGAATTATCATATAATTTACTGTAAAAAAAAACAGTAAAAGGACTTTCCCTGTGAACAAATGTACTGTTAGTTAATGTTAAATAATGCCTTAACTAATTATTGGGATCTTAGTGTAAAATGTTAAATGTAATTTTACAGTAAAATACTGTGAAATGTATAATTTTGCATGTACTGCTAGTTAACGTTATTTATGCCTTAACTAATTAAATGTAATTTAACTTATGTGTTTTTTTAAAAACTATAAATTACCTTATAATTTACTGTAAAATCACTTATGATTATATTTCATGTTTTTTTAATGGCTTATGTTGTTATCAGATTAGGGTGCTTTGTGTCACAGCTTGTAAAATACAGTATTCAACATTTGAAGTGGATCAAAGTTGTCCAGCAGGTATTGTTCAAAATTCATGTATAACTTTGAAAGGTTTTGATCCACTTTAAATGTTGACGACTGTACAAGTGAAGTTACAAATGAGAACTGTATACAATCTAGCAATGGTTTTGTCCTCTAGTGCCGTTAGCAGCCTGAAGGTCATCCACTGAAGGTCGTTCTCAAAGGCCGCAGCGTATACTTTCTAAATATACCGGTGAGTTCCTCTGCCGAGTGTTTTCTGGAGGATCTGAGATCCTGAGGAGGAGAAAGCCTGACCTATATAACAGATCCAAGTGTCTGGAGGAGAGCGTCTCTTCTCAACGTGCCCTAGTTAGACAGCGAGAGTTAGAGAAGCTCCTCTGAGGACTTACACACTTGTTCACAGAGAGAAACACACTCTCTCTGATTGATGAAGGGAATATAATTACACATCACAGCTGGAGCTTTTTATCCTGTGGGTGTTTGTCACAGTTCTGCGCATTTCCACCCGTAGTTAACATGACTTCTCTTTTTGAGATGGTTTTAAAGGAGTAGTTCACTTTTGAAAAAAACTTTTGCTGATAATTTACTCGCCCCCATGTCATCCAAGATGTCCATGTCTTTCTTTCTTCAGTCGAAAAGAAATGAAGGTTTTTGATGAAAACATTCCAGGATTTTCTCCATATAATGGACTTCAATGGGGTCCAAACAGTTCAAGGTCCAAAAGACAGTTTCAGTGCAAACTGTTCAAAGGGCTTTAAACGATTCCAGACGATGAATAAGGGTCTTATCAAGCGAAACGAGCGCTCATTTAATAAATAAATAACAAAGTTTAAGTTTTATAAGCTCAAATGCTCGCCTTGCTCTGTTCTGTGATGCACGTTCGTGATTCTCCTGTTCGAACTCGTTCGAGTCAAATCGTTCATTTCGTTCGTTGAATGAACCAAATGACACGAAAAAAGATTTGCGCAGACAGCTCGCATTGGAAATGTAACATTTTTTGATTTCTCTCGTGTTATGTGTGTGTTTTCTCAGATGATCCTGACGGCTGTTTCGTTCCTCCAGAGTTGGACAGGACTGGACACACGTTTGAGGTGAGCTGAAACTCTATTATTTTACAAGATCAGAAACAATGTTTGCTAAATCGACAGAACATGGCTCATTTAGACCGTAGAAAAACCTCCCAAAACTCAATATAATAGAAAACATCAGAAGCAGTTACATAATTTTAATAATATCTATATTTTTTGTATGGTCATAAGATAATTTTAATTATTTTTTATTTTAATTTTTATACTTCATATACACTTTTTTTCAGATAGAGATCATTATTATTTTTTTTGGCTTGTTCAGAACATAATTTTAATAATTTAGTAATTTAAATTTTCTTCTTCTTTTTTTTTTCTTCATATACACTTAATTCTTTTTTCAGATAGAGACCAGTACTTTTTTTGGCAATGTTTTTTTATTTTTGTTTTTTATCATTGATTACTATTAAAATAATTTGAATCATTTAAATCTTATTTTTGCATTCTGTCCTGGGCCTACAGATGAAAAATAGCCTTTGTTTTATTTCATAAACTAATAAATAAAATAAAAACTAAATAACCTGCTATGTTTGACCATATATGTATGTATATATATGTATATATACACAGTAAAGGGATAAAAAGCACAAGCCAGAATTGCTGTAGGTGGTTTGCATTTCTGAAATTAGAAAACATCTTATGCAATGTTCTGTCAGTGGGAGTGAACAGCCTTTTATTATATGGATGTATTCTGAAGTAATGATGATGATCATATTTAATCATGATATTAAGAATCGTACCAACAGATTTTGGACAGACTTAATTCATAAGTTCATAACTTAATTCTAATTTTATACTTCAGTTTTGACCATATACACTTATTTTTTTCAATTTTTTTTTTTTTTTTGCATTTTCATAACATAATTTATTTTCATTATATTGTTTTGCATGTTCATAATATTTTTAACAATATTTTTGCAGGTTCATAAATTTTGTAATAATATTTTTATACTTTTTTTCTTTTATACTACATTTTCAGATGGAAGCCTGTATTATTTTTTACATTTTCATAACATAATTTTCATAATATTTTATAGCAGGTTCATATTATAATTTTAATAATTTTGTAATTTTAATTGTAAAGGCTATAGTTTTTGCATGTTCATAACATTTTAATAATTTTGTCATTTTATTCTTCATTTTTATACTTTAAACACACTAAATTTTCTCAGATGGAGACCAGTCTTTTTCTTTTTGCATTTTCAGAACATCATTTTAATAATTTTGGAATATTGATTGATTTTTGTTTTCATAATATGTCTTTTGCATGTTCATAACAATGTTAATAATATTTTTGCAGGTTCATAGCATAATTTGAATAATTTTGTCATTTGAATTTTATACTTTATTTTTATACTTCATATACACTTCATTGTTGTCTTGTTTTTGGTTGAATTTTCATAACATAATTTTCTTACTATTTGTTGCAGGTTCATATTTTTTTTGTGCATGTTCATACATTTTAAATTTTAATAATTTTGCAATTTTAACATTAAGGGTAAATTTTGTGTTTTGTCAACAAAGACTCACAATGCATGTGATGATCCATTACAACTTTCATCATTACAGATTTGATCTAGTGATAGTAGATCAGGTTTTGGGTTTATAGTCTGTATATGTTTAAGAAGTATGATTTAATCAGCATGTCTCTGTTCTCCAGGGTCACATGTTCTCGTTAGGCTCCACCCTCTGGGCAGCGCTGGATCGCGTCACGGATCCGGATCAGGATCTGAGTGAAGAGAGCAGGTGTTTGCTGGAGCAGATGCAGCGAGAGGAACCCGAGGATCGACCCTCACTCCAGGTTCATCAGTCTTGTGAAGTTTAGTCTGAGAACACCAGTGAAGCACTTCTGCTTTTAGAGACGGATGCATGATGACCAATGAAATGTGGCCTGATACATGAGAAGAAACATTATTTAAATAATTATATTTGCATGCTCATAATATCATTTTAAACATATATGTGTTTAAATAACCATAAAAAATAAAAATTAAAAAGTGAAGTTTGAGACCACTAGTGAAAATACTTCTGATTTAATTATTTTACATTAACAACATACCGATGTGAAAGGGATGCATAATAAAATATAATTTCTATAATTTGTTTTGCATATTAATAACATAATTTTATCATTTACAACAAAAATATTCTGCCTTTTTTAAAGTAACTTATTATTGTTAGCCTATATTAAGAACATAATATGACTGCGACATAAACATGGACAAACGAGCAGTGGGTTTGATGTGAACAAATCTTGATGTTAATGCTGGATAAATGGAGGGTGTCCGTGAGCGCAGTCTTGTGGTTATTCAAAGCTAGTGCAGTGAAATAAAAGCAGACTGCAGTTGTTCCCTGACCTCTTTCCCTTCAAACATCTCTCCTCATCCCAGAACCAGCTTTACTGACGCTCCACACAGGAATAACTAAATATCCATCTCTATAAAGCTTTTTTGTCAGCTGATCCATAATATTTCAATAATTTAATAATTAATTTGATAAATAATTTACTCAAGTTCACATGATATGCATGTAAACAAATTAGAAAAGTGTACGATTTCAGAACTTCCACGACTTTCTGTGGAGAATTAAATGTTTAAAATGTAAATGGATTAAGGCTCATTTGACTGAAGGAGGAATAGTTTTAAAGAATCTGTAAAACAAATGTGTTGTTTTCAATGGGGAAAAATGGATAATAATTATTGCATAAAATATTAATTAGTACCATTAAATCCTCTCAAAATGCAAAATAAAAAAGATAAAATATTATTGAACAAAAATATATTACATTGATTTTACTGAAGAAAATAGAACATTTTGCGTGTCCGTCCACTTTTAACTGGAACGTGAGTGTGTTTCAGAGATACGGGCCGCTCGAGGGTTAATGATGTGTGTGTATAACGTCACCTGTTGTTTCCAGGATCTTCTCTCTCAGGCCGAGGCTTTCCTCGCCGACGTCTCGTCCACAACCGTCTGTCGGAAACTGTCCGCTGTTGGACGAAGACTTCTGTCCATAGAGTCCGTCGCCACTTTCCCAGGTTTGATCCCACAGTTAGCTCTTAATATGACTTACCATATATATATATCCAAATAGTAGCAAACAAAGAATAAATAAACAACATAAAGAAACGTAAAAAAAAAAAAACATCACAAAAATACATACATACATATAGAGAGAGTATATATTTGATTGCTTGAAGGAACATACTACAAGAGACCAAACAAACCTCAAAAAGACAAAGCTTAATACAATTTCAAGAAGTCCAAATAGCAGCAAACAAGTAAATAAACAAAATAAACCTAAAGAAACATAAAAAAAGAAGAAGAAGGGAGTTATCATCAAAAAATACTTTCAATAGAAATTATGGATTGATAATGCATCCAAAAATTTAAAATTGAAATAAAAAAGAAATATTTTGGAAAAATTTCAACTGATTTAAATAAGTAAAATAAAACACTTAAAAATTATGAATAATAAAAAGAATACATTTTAAAATATATATAATTTTACCTGCATGTCATGTGATCATTAATTGGCATCAGAGAATAATAAAAAAAATCAATACAAGTATGTGACCATTAATTTACATCTGAGAATAATAAAAGATAATAATAGTTATTAAAAAAATACTAAAAATATTGTATTTGTCTCCCTGTATTTCCTGTGACCAATAACAAATCAGGTAATTGCAAACAATAAAATAAATAAATAATGAAATGATTAAAATGTTATTAGTTTAGCGGCATGTCACGTCAATATTAACTGACATCAGTATATGTATATATGATTTTTTTTTTTCTGCATGTCATGCGAGCATTAACTGAGAAACGTGAACATTCTAATGGTTCGTTGTTAAATGATTGAAATGTTCAGATAAAATCTCAGGTGGTCTTCCAGTAAATATTTTAAGGGGTTCGGCTTGAGTTGCCAGATCTTTCTATTTCTTCACAGACGCTTCCAGTTTCCGTTTTCTTGATTGCAAAGCTTTAATCTCAAACTCCACGGAGAATCACTGCAGCGCTCGTCCCATGATGAGAAACCCCTCGGGCGACTCCTGTGACGGGGAAGAGCTCCTGATGAAGCGGAGAGGTCTGGTGTGTCACGGGTCTCGCTGGTCTGGAGCTTCGGCTGGACTCAGGTACAGAAACACACTGCAAACGTCAAAACATCCTTAAAGGAGTAGTTCACTTTAAAACAAATCTTTTGCCGATAACTTACTCACCCCCGTGTCATCCAAGATGTCCATGTCTTTCTTTCTTCAGTCGAAAAGAAATGAAGGTTTTTGATGAAAACATTCCAGGATTTTCTCCATATAATGGACTTCAATGGGGACCAAACAATTCAAGGTCCAAAAGACAGTTTCAGTGCAAACTGTTCAAAGGGCTTTAAACGACTCCAGACGATGAATAAGGGTCTGATCAAGCGAAACGATCACTCATTCAATAAATAAATAACCAAGTTTAAGTTTTATAAGCTCAAATGCTCGCCTTGCTCTGTTCTGTGATGAGCGTTCGTGACTCTCCTGTTCGTCAAAATGAACGAATCTTTTTTCGAGTCATTTTGTTCATTCAACCAACGAAATGAACGAAATGACTCCAAAAAAGATTTGTTAATTTCATTTCGACTGAAGAAAGAAAGACATGGACATCTTGGATGACACGGGGGTGAGTAAATTATCAGCAAAAGTGTTTTTTAAAACTACTCCTTTAAATCAAGATGCATTTACTAGATAAAAAGATATTAAGTCTTGTTTTCCTTGTTTTGGAATTAATCAAAATTAAGTTAAATGATCTGTCATTAGGGTGAGAAAAATAATCTTAATTCAAACAGAAACACTGTTATTTTTCTGAACCCCATTGTCAGATCATTTTGCTTGTTTTAAACATAAAACAGGACATAATATCTTTTGTCATTTTACTACTTTATTTAAAGTCATTATACACCACTGAAAACATAGTTATATGATACATTTCTGTCAACAGATCCTCCTAAATATTACACAATGCACCTTTAAATAACATAATACAGAAATAAGCCGATAATTGTAATAATAATGCATATTGCCTCGGCTGTTCCCCAGGGAAGACGAGCCCTCGGCGGACAGCAGGTCCCAGAACAGTTCTCCGGTGCGCAGGAGGAGAGCCCTGAACCGGTCCTGCTCCGTGCCGGACTCCAACAACCCTCGGGTGTTCAGTCCTCCCTCACACACTCCCATCAGCATGCTGGTGTCCGACCTGTCCGAGATCAGCGAGGACGAGAGCTGGAGCGGGAGACTGCGGGCTAAACACACCCGGACCGAACCGTGTGTCCCGTCTGTGGATGTCCGACCGGACGCTCGTGAGACGGATCACAGAGACGCTGAAGCTGACGGAGACCTGTGCTGCTCAAACCACGACTACAAAACCATCCTGTCCCTCAATGAGGGATATCAGAACCAGGTTTGTTTGTTGATACAGAACGGCCGAAATATGACCCATTTTATTATTATTTGGAATTAAATAATCTCCGAATAATCTCTGAATATTTCCATTGGCAACACGGTAAAAAAATATTGTTGGTTTAACTTAAAAAAGTAAGTAACCTGGTTGCCTTAAAATTTTAAGTTGATTGAACTGGAAAAAGTGAGTTAATACAATGAAGGAGAATGATTTAATCATCAGAAACTCAAAATTATATTTTATATGAACTAAATAAATTATTTAAGTTGATTTGACAAAAGAAAAAATGTAAAAAAATATTGATGGTTTAACTTAAAAAAGTAAGTAACCTGGTTGCCTTAAAATTTTAAGTACATTGAACTGGAAAAGTGAGTTAATACAATGAAGGAGAATGATTTAATCATCAGAAACTCAAAATTATATGTTATCTAAACTAAATAAATTATTTAAGTTGATTTGACAAAAGAAAAAATGTTGTGATTACTACACTGTAAAAAAATATTATTGTTGGTTTAACTTAAAGTAAGTAACCTGGTTGCCTTAAAATTTTAAGTTGATTGAACTGGAAAAGTGAGTTAATACAATGAAGGACAATTATTTAATCATCAGAAACTCAAAATCATATGTTATCTGAACTAAATAAATTATTTAAGTTGATTTGACAAAAGAAAAAATGCTAAAAAAAAATATTGTTGGTTTAACTTAAAAAAGTAAGTAGCCTGGGTTGCCTTAATTTTAAGTTCATTGAACTGGAAAAGTGAGTTAACACAATGAAGGAGAATGATTTAATCATCAGAAACTCAAAATTATATGTTATCTAAACTAAATAAATTATTTAAGTTGATTTGACAAAAGAAAAAATGTTGTGATTACTACACTGTAAAAAAATATTGTTGGTTTAACTTAAAAAAGTAAGTAACCTGGGTTGCCTTAAAATTTTAAGTTGATTGAACTGGAAAAAGTGAGTTAATACAATGAAGGAGATTGATTTAATCATCAGAAACTCAAAATAATAAGTTATCTCAACTAAATAAATTATCATAAAGTTGATTTGACAAAAGAAAATATGTTGTGAAAACAAATCTTGAAAATATTTTTTGACAGTGAAGACTAAAGACCTCAAAGCAGTGCTGGTCATGTTCTCACAACACTGCGCTGTTAGAGTTCATAAAGTCCGCTGGGGAATAATGGTGATGCAGTTTTAGCATTTAGAAGTGTAATAATAATAATCTGTATAATGAAGGAGTGATATTGTTGTGTGTTTGTTCCCCAGTGGATGTCCCTGCGGGATCTCCTGTCTCGCTCCGCGCCGCTCTCAGTGAACGAGCTCTGGGCTTTATGCCACACGTGTCTCTCCACACTGCAGACGTACATCGACCTCCCGGGTCAGTCGCAACATCAAACGCTCTTGTCTTTACCTCCTCTCTGCTTATGTTTCATGTCGATAATTAACCTATATTTTAATGCAACATTATGCTAATGCACATATGCATGTTTAATAAACATTTTCTAATGCTAATATGATTATTATGCATGAAGTGTTTGAGCTGTTTTTACTTCGGAGACCTGATGGAATATTTGTGGTTTTAAAGTTTCATTTGTCACACTGAAGGAATAAAGTGAACATCCAAAAAGTAATTAAAAAATATATACAGAAGTGGTGGGCAGTTACAGCATACACAAATATACACTTTTCTATAAGCTTGTTTCTGCCATGGAGTAAAAAAAACAAAAACAAAAGATTTTACATCTCACAATTCTGAGAAAGTCTGTTATAAACGTGGATTTATGAGAAATAAAGTCAGAATTGTGAGATAAAAACTCAATTAGCTTTTTTATTTTTAATTACGTGATGGAAACCAGCTTCCGTACTTTGCCTTGTAATTTCAACACAATGAAAATAATATACACTGTAAAAAATGAATATGCTTATCTAATCAATAAAATTGTGGCAACAGATTACAAGCAATATTTTCTATTAAATTGAACAAATTAGAATTGAGTAATAGTTAATCAAATTAATATTATAATTAATTCTAATTTGTACAAATTAATTAATAATATTGCTTGTAATATGTTGCCACAATTTTATTGATTAGATAAAGCATATTATTTTTTTCAGTGTACAATGTGATTGATTAATATATAAATAAAATAGATTTGACATTCCTATCAATTTTAAACTAAAATCTTGAATGTTAAACCAAATTTTTGTATTATTTACTATCACTATTATTATTGTTATTATTTTCAAACAATAAAAATAAAACGCTTACAAATAATAAAAATAGTTTTATTTTTTAATCATGTTTACTTGCATGTCTTGTCACCATTAACTGACATATACACATAATACAAATTATAATAAATATATATTTATAAATGGTCAAATGACATGCAACTAAACAAAAATTGTAATACTAACACACACACTGTTCTCTGTGTCCATCAGACTATCTGTGTCTGGACTCAGTGTTTGTGGGCTGTGAAGGAGAGATGCTGTTTCTGAGACCCAAGAACTCAGGTACGAGCTCTGGAACACACTTCCTTCTCATATTAAACATGCACAAAATCGAAACATTTTTAAATCCAACATAAAAACTCACTTTTTTAGGTTGGATTATTCCTAACGGTTTAATTATTTTGTATCCCAGTGTGTTTGCTTTGTATTTCTGTGCATTTTTTTTTTACTTTTCTCTTTGTATTTTTGTGTAAAGAGCCTTGAGAAGCTACGGATGTGTATTGCATTCACTTGAAGAAAAAAAATCTACTCTGTTTTTTATGAATTAACGAGTTAATTTTTCATGAGAAAAAAAGTTTTGCTCTGTTTTTCTGAATTAATGAGTTAATTTTTCATGAGAAAATTTTTTTTGCTCTGTTTTTCTGAATTAACGAGTTAATTTTTCATGGAATTTTTTTTTTTTGCTCTGTTTTTATGAATTAACTCGTTAATTCAGAAAAACAGAGCAAAAACTTTTTTTCTCACGAAAAATTAACTCATTAATTCAGAAAAACAGAGCAAAAACTTTTTTTCTCACGAAAAATTAACTCATTAATTCAGAAAAACAGAGCAAAAAAATTTTTCTCATGAAAAATTAACTCGTTAATTCAGAAAAACAGAGCAAAAACTTTTTTTCTCACGAAAAATTAACTCATTAATTCAGAAAAACAGAGCAAAAAAAATGTTCTCATGAAAAATTAACTCGTTAATTCAGAAAAACAGAGTAGATTTTTTTTCTTCAAGTGAATGCAATACGCCTCCGTAAGAAGCTGCTTTAAAGACGCGATGTAAAATAAAGTTTATTATTATTATTTTTAACTCTGTCCTTCTCAGTCTCCTGTGACGCGTTTTTCCTGGCTCCTGAATTTCAAGAACATGGAATTGTGACGGAAAAGGTTTGTCACTATGGCAACCGCTCTCTAGTAGTTCCACGCAGTGTTGTGTGTTTAAACGGATGTGTGTTTTCCTCTAGGCGTGTGTGTATGGGGTGGCAGCCGTCCTCTGGGCTTCGGCCAAGTTTGATTTGTCTCCCGATCAGAAGTTGGCCATGCCGAGGAAACTCAAGAGACTCCTGCTGGAGATGGCCAAGAGGACGCCGATCGAAAGGCCGTCCATTGAAACGGCCAAAAAGGTGCTTGAGAACGATCATGCATTATTTATTCATTTAAAACTTCTTTTTTTATAAGTCATATTTTACTCCAGAATTATATTTATTATAAAGAAAAATTAAATGAAAAGGAAAGTCTATTGTGCAGGAACTTTATATAGTGTACACAAAAAATCGAAATAAGATATTTTTTAAAAAAATGGTGTCTATGCTCAATGCACAACAATGATATTGTGAAATATTATTACAATTAAAATCTTTACAATATTTACATTAAGGTTTCATTAATTGCATTAATTAACAGTGTGCAATATATATATATATATATTGCAGTTTAATAATCTTTGCCAATGTTAGTTATTAAAAATAGTTGTTCATTGTTTTTAACTAATTACCTAATGTCCAACATGAAATCCAATTTTAAAAATGTATTAGTAAATGTTGAAATTAATAGAAATTATTATTATTTGGGCTGAATTGTCCTGAAAATGATTTCACAGTGCAATTATGGATGATTATTATGTAATAATTTATATATGATAATTATTAATTGAATGTTAAAATGAAAGGCTTGTTTTTCTCTATGCATCGAATGCACTTCTGGTTAGTTTTCTTCCTCCAAACACTGGTTCCTCCGTCTCTCAGGCCGTGTGCGTTTGCTAACGTGGGTTATTCTGCTGTCATCTTTCAGTGTTGCCGTGACTACCTCTGCCGGCAGGGAAGCGACGCAGAGAGTGTGTGGACGCAGCTCATCAGTCGAGTTCATCAGGTGAAGCGGCAGGATCTGATCAGTCCTGTGATCTCGTCTTTATAGTTTTCTAGAGTCTCTGTTCTCTGTGCCTTTTACTTTGGAAACTGGTTTCCACCATGGAATGGGATTGGGAAATTCAGCAGCTCACATAAAGAGTTCAGATGCAAAAGCCTCTAAATGCCATTTGAAATTTTCTTCTTTAATGATGATTTTTATCAAACTTGTACAAGTTTGATAAAAATCATCATTAAAGAAGAAAATTTCAAATGGCATTTAGAGGCTTTTGCATCCGAACTCTGCACATACTCCAGGGAGAAATAAAGTCAGAATTACGAGAAAAAAGTCAAAGTTGCAATAAATAAATGTAGAATTTAGTTAAAATTTTACAAAATGTTTTGTAAATAAGGTAAGAATTGCAAGATCTAAAGTCAGAATTATGATAAATAAATTGATAACTGCATGAAATAAAGTCAGAATTGCGAGAAAAATATTCAGAATTGCCAATTTTGAGAAATAAAGTCAGAATTGTGAGAAATAAAGTGAGAACTGCGTGAAATAAAGTCAGAATCGCCAATTGTGAGAAATAAAGTCAGAATTGCAAGAAATAAAGTCAGAATTTTCAAAGTCAGGGTTAGTTCACCCAAAAATGAAAATTAAGTCATTAATTACTAGACTTCCATTGTAATTAGTAATTAGTGAAGTCACTAATTACTAGAATTACGAGACTTCCTTAGATTTCCACGACGCATGCGCGAGAACTGAACTGAAATAGTTGAAGGAGATCGCAATTCTCGCGCATGCGTCGTGGAAATCTATTGAAGTCTCGTTTCAGGCCAACAAGGAAGAAAAGGAGTAGTCGAATAAAGTCGTTATTTTTGTTTGTTTTTTCACACAAAAAGTATTCTCGTCGCTTGATAAACATATAGTTGAGCCACGGTAGTCACATGGAATATTTAAACATTTTCTTCATTGACTTTCTGGGCCGTCAAGAGGCAGTCCCTTAGGAGCCAATGTGGTAGTTATACAGCTCTCAAATTTAATCAGAAATATCTTCATTTGTGTTCCGAAGACGAACAAAGGTCTTACGGGGTTGGTACAGCATGGGGGTGAGTAATTAATGACTTAATTTTCATTTTTGGGTGAACTAACCTTTTAAATTCAGAATTGCGAGAATTAAAGTCATAATTGTGTGAAATAAAGACAGAATTGTGAGAGAAAAAAGTTGCAATTACCATTTTTATTTTCAAGCTTATATTACTTTTTCTCGCAATTGCGAGATTATATTACGAAAAAGTCAGAATTGCGAGTAATAACCTCAGAATTTGCATGAAAGTCAGAATTGTGAAATAAAATGTTGCAGCTTTTTTTTGTTTTTTATTCTGTGGGAAACCAGTTTCCTCATTTGATCAACTGTGTGTCACAGAAACATCGTCCCTCTACCGCATTAAACATGTCAGCAACACACACTCATCTCTGTCCCGTTTGCACATCTAACACACATTTTTTTTTTATGTAACTCCAGTTTCCAGATAGTCGTGAATTGATTTTTCATGAGATTTCTCAAAGGAATGCAATTGCTCAGAGGTTGATCTTTCAAATCTCAGGAGACTCGGTTTAAGTATCAACTTTCCCAGAGATATTTATTCAAAAATTATTTATACAGACTAAAAATAGAAACAAATCAAGAGCTACTCTCATAAGCTGTCAGTGCAAACGCTCTTCTGTAACTCTTTCCTGTCTTAATACATGCAAGTTTCTCATAACAAGAAGCGTTTGTCATTGAAGGCATTGGATGGGAATAGAGTTACGGAGGAACCGTGTTCTCCTGAGAGTGCTGAAAACACACCTGACCCACTCGTGGGACAAGTTCACACAGGTGCGAGTCATTCTGTCAATCTGCATTTTTAACATTAAACTCTCACAAAAACCAGTCAAGAACATTTTCAGCTCATGTTTCACCCTAAAATCAGAAGAGAGAGATTCTGCCTGTTATCTTTATGACAATTAAGCACATTTACCAACACATTCTTTGTAATGTAATGTGAAAAAAATCATGCTATTATAATGTGAAAAAAAATGATGTTATTCAAAATTGGGTGGGTTATGCAAACAATGCTGCATTTATTTGATCAAAAATACAGTAAAAATAGTGAAATATTATTATAATGTAAATCATCTGTTTTCTATGTGAATTTATTATATACTGTAATTTATTCCTGTGATCAAAGCTGAATTTATCATCATTACTCCAGTCTTCAGTGGCACATGATCCTTCAGAAATCACTCTAATATGAGGATCTGATGATCAGGAAACATTTATGATTATTATCGATGTTGAAAACAGTTGTGCTGTTTCGTATGTTTGTGAAAACCCTATTATTATTAATTATTTGTTTTAAATAGAAATCTTTGGTATGTATAAAAATATAAAATGAGGATAAAAAAACATTAAAAAACTCCAAAGTAAAATGCATTGCAGAAATGAGAATATGAGGGGAATGTGCTTTTGCTATTATAATACAGTTATCTTGCTAAAATAATTGCATTAATGGTCCTAAAATAGGATTCCTCTCTTCAGTATGTAACATTTCATATATACCTGTTTTTGAGGGTGAAATGTGATCCACACGTTTTCATGAGATCAACCCTGTTTTGTAATAAATGTTCAAACTTGTGTGTTGGCTGAATATGAACATGCTTTACATTTGTGTGGTATTAATCTGTTTTTGTCTCAGGTTTTGTCCCGTTGGCCCTCGAGGGCCGGTTGGCCCCTGTAACTGGTCCTGTTCCTCATAATTACCCAGTGTCCTCCACCAGCATCCGTTTGCCCGAGGCCTTCACCTCTCCTGATACACACTTCAGCCCGATAGTCCTGATCCCACAGTCTGAGCTGTAGGTCTTCTGACGCACTTTTATATATATATCCGTGATAGATGGACTATCCGCTTCACTGCTATAACTTTTTTACACTTCGATTTTTTTTTCAATTGCTTTTACTTCTGCAATAATCTGCCAAGTGTCTTCTTTGAATTGCGAGAAATAAAGTCAGAATTGCGAGAATTAAAGTCAGAATTGCAAGAAATAAAGTCAGAATTGCGAGAAATAAAGTCAGAATTGCGAGAAATAAAGTCAGAATTGCGAGAAATAAAGTCAGAATTGCGACAAATAAAGTCAGAATTGCGAGAAATAAAGTCAGAATTGCGAGAAATAAAGTCAGAATTGTCAGAAATAAAGTCAGAATTGTGAGATATAAAGTCAGAATTGCGAGAAATAAAGTCAGAATTGTCAGAAATAAAGTCAGAATTGTGAGATATAAAGTCAGAATTGCGAGAAATAAAGTCAGAATTGTCAGAAATAAAGTCAGAATTGCGAGAAATAAAGTCAGAATTGTCAGAAATAAAGTCAGAATTGTGAGATATAAAGTCAGAATTGCGAGAAATAAAGTCAGAATTGCGAGAAATAAAGTCAGAATTGTCAGAAATAAAGTCAGAATTGTGAGATATAAAGTCAGAATTGCGAGAAATAAAGTCAGAATTGTCAGAAATAAAGTCAGAATTGTGAGATATAAAGTCAGAATTGCGAGAAATAAAGTCAGAATTGTCAGAAATAAAGTCAGAATTGCGAGATATAAAGTCAGAATTGCGAGAAATAAAGTCAGAATTGTCAGAAATAAAGTCAGAATTGTGAGATATAAAGTCAGAATTGCGAGAAATAAAGTCAGAATTGTGAGATATAAAGTCAGAATTGCGAGAAATAAAGTCAGAAATGCAAGAAACAAAGTCAGAATTGTCAGAAATAAAGTCAGAATTGCGAGAAATAAAGTCAGAATTGCGTGAAATAAAGTCAGAATTGCGACAAATAAAGTCAGAATTGCGAGAAATAAAGTCAGAATTGCGAGAAATAAAGTCAGAATTGTCAGAAATAAAGTCAGAATTGTGAGATATAAAGTCAGAATTGCGAGAAATAAAGTCAGAATTGTCAGAAATAAAGTCAGAATTGTGAGATATAAAGTCAGAATTGCGAGAAATAAAGTCAGAATTGTCAGAAATAAAGTCAGAATTGCGAGAAATAAAGTCAGAAATGCAAGAAACAAAGTCAGAATTGTCAGAAATAAAGTCAGAATTGCGAGAAATAAAGTCAGAATTGCGTGAAATAAAGTCAGAATTGTCAGAAATAAAGTCAGAATTGCGAGAAATAAAGTCAGAATTGTGAGATATAAAGTCAGAATTGCGAGAAATAAAGTCAGAATTGTCAGAAATAAAGTCAGAATTGCGAGAAATAAAGTCAGAATTGTCAGAAATAAAGTCAGAATTGTCAGATATAAAGTCAGAATTGCGAGAAATAAAGTCAGAAATGCAAGAAACAAAGTCAGAATTGTCAGAAATAAAGTCAGAATTGCGAGAAATAAAGTCAGAATTGCGTGAAATAAAGTCAGAATTGCGACAAATAAAGTCAGAATTGCGAGAAATAAAGTCAGAATTGCGAGAAATAAAGTCAGAATTGTCAGAAATAAAGTCAGAATTGTGAGATATAAAGTCAGAATTGCGAGAAATAAAGTCAGAATTGTCAGAAATAAAGTCAGAATTGTGAGATATAAAGTCAGAATTGCGAGAAATAAAGTCAGAATTGTCAGAAATAAAGTCAGAATTGCGAGAAATAAAGTCAGAATTGTCAGAAATAAAGTCAGAATTGTGAGATATAAAGTCAGAATTGCGAGAAATAAAGTCAGAATTGCGAGAAATAAAGTCAGAATTGTCAGAAATAAAGTCAGAATTGTGAGATATAAAGTCAGAATTGCGAGAAATAAAGTCAGAATTGTCAGAAATAAAGTCAGAATTGTGAGATATAAAGTCAGAATTGCGAGAAATAAAGTCAGAATTGTCAGAAATAAAGTCAGAATTGCGAGATATAAAGTCAGAATTGCGAGAAATAAAGTCAGAATTGTCAGAAATAAAGTCAGAATTGTGAGATATAAAGTCAGAATTGCGAGAAATAAAGTCAGAATTGTGAGATATAAAGTCAGAATTGCGAGAAATAAAGTCAGAATTGTGAGATATAAAGTCAGAATTGCGAGAAATAAAGTCAGAATTGTCAGAAATAAAGTCAGAATTGCGAGAAATAAAGTCAGAATTGTCAGAAATAAAGTCAGAATTGTGAGATATAAAGTCAGAATTGCGAGAAATAAAGTCAGAATTGTCAGAAATAAAGTCAGAATTGCGAGATATAAAGTCAGAATTGCGAGAAATAAAGTCAGAATTGCGAGATATAAAGTCAGAATTGCGAGAAATAAAGTCAGAATTGCGAGAAATAAAGTCAGAATTGTGAAAAATAAAGTCAGAATTGTGAGATATAAAGTCAGAATTGTGAGAAATAAAGTCAGAATTGCGAGAAATAAAGTCAGAATTGCGAGAAATAAAGTCAGAATTGTGAGAAATAAAGTCAGAATTGTGAGAAATAAAGTCAGAATTGTGAGAAATAAAGTCAGAATTGCGAGATATAAAGTCAGAATTGTGAGAAATAAAGTCAGAATTGCGAGAAACAAAGTCAGAATTGTCAGAAATAAAGTCAGAATTGTGAGAAATAAAGTCAGAATTGTGAGAAATAAAGTCAGAATTGCGAGAAACAAAGTCAGAATTGTCAGAAATAAAGTCAGAATTGCGAGAAATTAAGTCAGAATTGCGAGAAATAAAGTCAGAATTGCGAGACATAAAGTCAGAAATGCAAGAAACAAAGTCAGAATTGTCAGAAATAAAGTCAGAATTGCAAGAAATAAAGTCAGAATTGCGAGAAATAAAGTCAGAAATGCCAGAAATAAAGTCAGAATTGCAAGAAATAAAGTCAGAATTGCAAGAAATAAAGTCAGAATTGCAAGAAATAAAGTCAGAAATGCCAGAAATAAAGTCAGAATTGCGAGAAATAAAGTCAGAATTGAGAGAAATAAAGTCCGAATTGCGAGAAATAAAGTCAGAAATGCCAGAAATAAAGTCAGAATTGTGAGAAATAAAGTCAGAAATGCGAGAAACAAAGTCAGAATTGCGAGAAATAAAGTCAGAATTGCAAGAAATAAAGTCAGAATTGCAAGAAATAAAGTCCGAATTGCAAGAAATAAAGTCAGAATTGCGAGAAATAAAGTCAGAATTTTGAATTATAAACTCGTAATTGCGTATGTAGGATCTGATGCTCTTGTTTGTTTTTAAGGATTGTCTCTTTCGATGACATCACAGATGAAACTCTCCCGCTAGAGCCAGAAGATCCGTCCGAGAGCGACGCCGAGGATGATGGGATTGAGGGAGTTTTCTCGACGGCGGATCATGTAGCCGGTTATTCATCATCATCCAGCTGTAAGACTCTCGTGAGCTCACCGCCGCCAGCGATTACCCAAACAACCAATAAAGAAACGGACAAACAGCCGAACTACCCCACCCTACCATGTGACAATGGGATTTATAACAACTTCCTGTTACAGCAAGACCCACACACAGGAAATCTGACCCTGCTTCCTGTTCAGATCGCCGTGCTTCAGCCAATCACAGGCGTGCATCACTTCAGCACAGATCCACTGAACATCCAACTACCGAAACCTTCTGTAGAGCCAGACGCCCCTCTCAGGAATGACAGAGTCAGTGTTTGCCATAGAGATGATGATAACTCTGTGAACATCTCTGCTCCTCGCTGTGTGAATCACACACTGCCTCTCTCCAGCTCGTGTTGGAGATGCACGTGTGTGAAGTGTGTGTGTGACCTGATCAGAGGAGAGTTCACGTTTGACGGATGTCTGGAGAACGGACTCGGAGATCTGCCAATGGGTAAACCATTTTATATGTAAATCATTTTCATTTATTTTAATACCAATTTAACTTTTTGACTTGTTTTACCGTATTATTACTTCTTTAAACATTTTTTTTAAATAATGATATGTTTTTATTTTATTTTACTACTATTTCTTTTTTTACAATTTATTATTTTTTTTAATTATTTAAAAATTAAATTATTTAGTGTTTGTTTTACCATTTATTAAAAAATGTATTATTTTAATTGTTTTATTTTTACATTTTACTTTATTTTGTTTTATTATTATTATTACTATAATTATTGTTTTATAATTTATTATTATTATTATTATTATTTTATTCTATTTTGTTTAGCTTTTTGTATTTTTTAGATTTTAGTATTTTTGTATATTAATTAATTAAATTATTAATAAATTATATTATTAATTAAATTTACTTTATCATTTTTTTAAATGTTATTTCGTTTATTTCTACATTTTATTTGATCCTTTTTATGTACAATTTATTATAAATTTGTATTGTTTAATTATTTAAATTATTTTTTTTTTTTGCATATTTTTGACATTTTACTATTTTTGTATTTTATTTTATTTATTTTTACTTTTTATTATTATCATTTTTTTATTTTCAGTATAGCTTGCCTGTGTTAAAAATCACCCCCACCTCAACCTTTAATTCTGTGATTTATGTCATAAATTCACGGGTTTTTATATTAAGTTCGTCCAGGGTAGCTCACTTTAAAAGAAATAATCTAAGAAACGTATGCAATGTTCCTCTGATCTGTGTTTATGTTATAGGCCACAGATTTAGCATTGCTTTGATGGTCTTGATCAGCTGTTTGTTGTCACTGGACGAGCTTCAAGGACTCCCTCATGTCTTGTCTCTTTCTAGGTCTAGGAGAATACATCTTTTCCTTGAAAACCCTCCGGTTTGACACTTTTTGCCGAGCAGTAAGGGAGAAGTTCAGCGGCGTGTTGTGGGAGCAGAAGCTGCTGTGTGACCTTCACCATCTGATCAACCTGTGAGTATCAACATAAGCTGCTCTTCTTCATTCCCTCCAGCACTGATTTACATATGCAGCATTTGCTTTTAGAAACGGTCTCTGTGATATTCAGGTCTCTGGATATGGCTCTTTTAGTTTAACACTGTGATCTTATCACTTCATAAAATACACTAGAAAAAAATATTTTTTTTCTTATTTGTTTCTGCATGGGGTCAGAAAAATATATTTAATTCATATGGAAAACAAGTTGATTTTTTTTTTTTTTTTTTACCTCATGGGCAGATTTATTTTTTGTAAGAATTCATCAGCAGTCTATATCTGTGATATAATATATCTTGTACTATTATTATTAATAATTAATAATGTTTCGTTGAAAGATTTTAGTTAATTTGTGGTTGGTTAGTTGGTTAGTCAGTCAGTTGGTTGGTTGGTTGGTTGGTTGGTTGGTTGGTTGGTTGGTTGGTTAGCTAGGTTGTTGGTTGGTTAGTTAGGTAGCTAGGTGGTTGGTTGGTTGGTTGGTTGGTTAGCTAAGTGGTTGATTGGTTAGTTGGTTGGCTATTTAGTTAGTTAGCTAGGTGGTTGGTTGGTTGGTAGGTTGGTTGATTGGTTAGTTGGTTGGCTATTTAGTTAGTTAGCTAGGTGGTTGGTTGGTTGGTTGGTTGGTTAGCTAGGTGGTTGTTTGGTTAGTTAGTTGGTTGGTTAGCTAGGTTGTTGGTTGGTTAGTTAGGTAGCTAGGTGGTTGGTTGGTTGGTTGGTTAGCTAAGTGGTTGATTGGTTAGTTGGTTGGCTATTTAGTTAGTTAGCTAGGTGGTTGGTTGGTTGGTAGGTTGGTTGATTGGTTAGTTGGTTGGCTATTTAGTTAGTTAGCTAGGTGGTTGGTTGGTTGGTAGGTTGGTTGATTGGTTAGTTGGTTGGCTATTTAGTTAGTTAGCTAGGTGGTTGTTTGTTTGGTTGGTTGGTTGGCTAGCTAGGTGGTTGGTTGACTGGTTAGCTAGGTGGTGGCTGGTTGGTTAGCTAGTTGATGGCTTGTTTAGTTAGTTCGCTGGGTGGTTGGTTGGTTGGTTATATCTCTAAGATAATGTTTCTTGTATTATTATAATTAATATTATTTCATTGAAAGCTTTTGTTTGTTTGGTTGGTTGTTTATATCTGATAATATTATTATTAATAATTAATGTTATTTAAAGGTCCCCTGACATGGGTTTTTTGTATTATTTTATAATGTTTCCTGGGTTGCCCTTATAATGTTAATATGTTTTTTAGATCAAAAATAGTCATAATTTAGAAATAAAAGGCATTTTTCCTAGCCTGATTTTAGCCTCTGCTTAGAATGTCTGTTTGAAGGGGCGTGTCTTCTGTGGGATTCAATGTAGCTGCCCACTGCTGTGATTGGCTGACATGCTTGCATATGAAATAGCTACAAATTACATGTGAAACTCTCTTGAATACGTTTTACTATAGCTATTATACGTTTTTACTATTACAGATATCGAGATTACTGATTCGTGAGAAGTTTTTGAAAGATTTTAGTTAGTGGTTGGTTAGTTGGTTATATCTGTAAGATAATATATATTGTAATATTAGTATTAGTTAATTAGCAGATTTTAGTTAGTTATTTTGTTAGTTAGTTAACATACGTTTATTGTTGCTTTCTGTGTCTGCAACCACTATTTTCTTATTCTGTATTTTGCAGTGTTTTCCAGTTAAAATATCTAAACATCCTTAAAATGAGATAAAGGAATCGTTTATGTCTGGAGCACTGAAACCCCAAATATGAGAGAAATAGTGATGATTTATCATTAGACAACTCAAGTCCAGTCATTTCTATTTACACATTATTCAGTTTGATTTTCTGAAGGCTGAAATGAACCAACAGCCTGTGGCTTTAAATTTGAATTTCAGTCACATGAGAGCTTCTCGTTCTCAATAATCACATATAACCACGTCCCTCCACTTATCATCAGCAATCAAGCCAGAATAATTTCAGGAGAAGCAGTTTTCCAGAAAGGTCCCTATGGAAACAGATGCTCCTCGTCGCCGTCAGGTCAGAGAGATCACATGGAGAGAGAGAGAGATGTGATGTTCTGAGACACAATAGTCTCTTTCTCAGTCGCCGGATCACATGCTCTGAGGATCAGGCTGAAGTGGCTGTGGATGTTACACACTCTCGCTGTGTGTGTATGGTTAAACAGCAGTGCTGGTGTGTGAGAGGAGTGTGTGTGTGTGGACGTCACACAGGTGCTGCAGGTTAAGTCGCCTCACAAGCCTCGGATCTAAAGAAGTTTTCTTCTATCTCTGATAAAGCATGACGATCTGCGGGAGAGATGGTTTAGCCGACACTTGAGTATGTATTTATTTATTCATGATAAATGCTTTAGTTGACTTTTGTTTATTTATTCATTATTACATTTTTTGTTGACGAAATGTATTTATTTGTGATAAATTGTTTATAATTTAAATAAAATAAAAAATATACATTTTTATTATGATTTATTAATTTATGAAAATGGTTTAGTTGACTGTTTTTGTTTGTTTGTAGTAAATGTTCAGTTTGCTTTGTTTTTATTTTTATGATAAATGGTTTAGTTGACATTTATTTATTTAGTTATTTATGATATATGATTTACTTTAGACATTTGTTTATTTATTTATGATAAATGATTTAGTTAATATTTATTTACGATAAGTGGTTTAGTTGACATTGTATTTATTTATTTATTTTATCTTGCAAAAAAAATTTTTTTTTTCTAAATCTGTATTTTTCTCATGTTTTTTTTCCCCCCTAAACGTCCTTAAAATCAGTGAAATCTACTGAAGAAGCAAAACTGTACACGATAATATATTAAGTGGGGTTTTCTTGATTGGATTGGTGGATTTTTTTACCCCCATTTCATCTTGTTTCTGCATGGTTTGGTGTTTATTTCTCATTACTGTTGCTGTTGGGTTGTAATACTGGATGGGTTCAGATGTGTGTGTGTGTGTCTCCTCATGGGGTAATGGTGGAGGATTGTTGCGACAGGGGAAGCGGTAGGCCACAAAAATATGGCATATAATTTTTTTTGAAAGTGCAGAATCTCGTCAATCTTGTGAAATATAAATAAAAAGATTGTTGGATGATGTGTGAATAATTCAAGACTAAATTGTTATAATTTCTCTCTCTCTCTCAGAGTCTCTGATGATCAACCCTCCTCTAATGCAGTGAATAGGGCACCAGTGTCTCTCCAGAGCGCCAGACGTTATTTTCCCAGTGATCTTGACCACAGTGCAGAGCTCGGCTCGTCCCAGCCTTCACATCGAGCCGCGTTAGAGGAAAACCAGCAGAACCAGATCAAGAGACAACTCAAATACAAACTTGATGAATTAAAATGCAGAGAAACAGACAGACGTGAGTCAGAGGAGACGGACACCAGAGGAAACACACAGGAAGTGACATCACATGAAGTGACATCACAGGATGACAGTAAAGGTAGGACCGCCCCATCTCGTCAACATGAAATAATAAAAAAAACAATAATTAAAAACTTAATTAAAAGATTTCTAATATGGTGTTCTTCTCATAATGCATTGAATGTTATGACGACAATCACCAATAAAGAAACATTTAAAAACCTTAAGTTCTACTCTGCTGATCATCCTACAGTATTATAGCTATTTAATGTTACACGTTGTTACAGTGTCTTTTTTTTTTACAAATACTTACCATAGTAATAAGGACATTATGCACAATTACATGCAACTAACCCTCAATCAAACCCTAACCCTATATTAAGTACATGTAGTTAATTATTATTACTCAGTATTTATATGATTACACTGTAACAGTGAGACCTTAAAATAAAGTGTAACCCGTATTTGATGAGCTGTGAATGCTGTTTTATGTTGCCTCTATTATCTCTGTTCAGATGTTATAGTCTG